CCTCGCTTCCTACTTTTCCCACTAGTCCAACCGTGGTCTTAACGAAAAGTAATTTTGTATTTGTATTTGCTGCTTATTGTTCCAAGTTTGCGCGCAAAGGTGCATCAACGTTTCAACTCGCTGTTGTTCTAACGGCAACTACTTCAGTCTTATTATGAAAAGGGTACGCGCTCATAAGTATGTGGATACTCACTGAAAGAAGTAAATTTTTTTTTGGAAAATGAAAACGAGCCGAGAAAATGTTCAAGTTTATTGTCTAACAAGTGAGGTAACTTGAAAACGAAGACAAACCGATTACACGGGGATTTCGTAAGGGTCTCATAATGATCTCGGTGACACTGTCCCACGATTACATCAAGTGGTTACCCCCTCGCCTTTTGCACTTTGCGCACCTAGAACTCGTGTCCTCGTTAAGGAAGCGTCGACTTGAGATAATTCGACGTATCTTCAGACTCATTCATTTCATTTACTCGCGCCTTTGCATTACCACGGTGTTTCGCGGTCCGAACCACCTCGGTGGCGAGCCGTTTGAATTGAGGAAAACTCGGCACGCGAAAGAAAATTAACGCGTCCCTCTTGCCACGGTGGAGCGCGGGTGAAAGTTAAAGATCGCGGCTCGGTAGAACCTCCGAGGAGATTAGAATGGAAATGCACTTTCTTGTTGCCGGCGAACGCTCGCACTCGGGGTGGTGCACGGCTCGCGGCGGTTGTTATACTCGCGGGAACCCGGCAACGGCCGGCGCGGTGCAGCCATGCGATTTTCCGTGTATCGCTCGGCCAGAGCGCAGCCTGCAATTATCGTGTGAACGAGGCCGAGCCTTCGCCGATGGCTTTGTTTCGTACTTTAATGGCGACTCTTTCGAGATCCCGCGAAGCGCGCGAAAGCCGTTGCCGGGTCCGCGTCGCTCGTGAATCGAGCGACGAGGCCGATTCGACGATAAAATGATATCGGGCGATCGTAAGAGTGGTAGAGAGAGAAAGAGACACCATGGGAGAACGTTGTTTCGTTTTCCGCGATCACGCTGCAAATCCGTACCGTTAAGCTTTTCGCAAAACGAAGGAGCAATTACCGGTGGGAAAGTGGAACGATATTAATATATATATATTTCGTTTCCTCGTGAGTGCTGCGCGCGACTCACTCCGTTTCACGGACTCGCCGAGCAGCGAGTGCTTCCTGCAGTAAACGCCTGGAGTGCCGTAAGCCCCGGCACTCCTTTAAGTATCGACAATGGATATTGTTGAGAGGAGAACGCGATAGGTGCGCTTTAACGCGACGTTTAGGCGCGCCGAGACATAAACAAGATATAAATATTGATGCTCTTATCCGACTTGTGCATTAGCATTTGTTTTTCTCAAAAAAAAAAAAACAGCCGTTGAACAACGGGACGTTAGAAGTCGCGGGACTTCCCGAAACTGCGACGTCGACTGTCTAATGCGCCTTTAGCACGATTTCTCCGCGCTTCAATTATACCGGCGTTTATTGCCCCCCGTCACGAGCCATCGCGTCCGATTTTTCTTTTTCGGCCGCGCCGCGCGTGCAATTACCGTGCGAACGAGGTCGCGGATTTAGCTGATAGCCTTCGGTGCCGCGGTACGTCGACTCCGCCAAGATAACGAGCCCAGGATGTGTTCCCTAGTACCCCGTCCGTGATCGCGAATGGGCAATTATACCGCACTTGGGCGGTCCGGCCTGCAGGGGGGAAAAAAAATGGGCGGAATCGCCGAATCGGAATCGCACTCCACCCCGGCGAGTGGCGAACGTATTAAAAGCCGTCGCGAAGCTGCGTCCCGGCGTAATGCAGGGTTTCCACGACCCTTGGAAGTACGCGCGTTGCACACGCAAACTTTCGTTCAGGCACGTTCTATAAAAGATGCGATCGATGAAATGACGTACGGTATACCTGCATCAGACCTATAGACGTAAATATCTTATATCGCTGCTTTATCACATTTTTGTCGGTGTCTCGAACTCAGAAATTCCCATATTCTCTCTCTCTCTCTCTCTTTGTCGTGCAATGAATATCTTCTGAGGAAGAAAAAGAGAGGGGTGGGGAGGGTAGAGGGGGCGGAGAAACTTTCAGCGAAAGAAAAATCTTCCATACGTAAAACGATGAGGATCGTTGGTTCAACAACCGACAATGATTTACGCCACGTTATATTTCCAGGCTTCCCCGTGCTTTTTTTCACAATGATGTTTATTGTCGCGCATAATCTCTCGCGACTCAATTATCTCCTCCGTGAAAGTTGAAGGAACGGCGCGCGGTCGATCGTGTACTCTCAAGTAGATTATGGTTGAAGAAAAATATGTTTTTGTGTGCGCTCGTTTCGCGAGGAGCTTTCTGTCCAGCTTCTCCCCAGATTATCGATTTGTTGTATTACGTAAAGACACGCGGGGTAACGCACATTTCGGCGTAACACTCCGACCGGAAAATGAGGGGGAAAAATGTGCTGTATTGAATGTGATTGCTAGAGGTGTGACATTTTGATGTTATCTTTGTACGCAAAATATCGCAAAATGCCCTAGAAACGTTCATTTTAATGTCATTTCTTTATATTTTGGAGCCCCCAACTTCGTTTTAATACGTTTTTAAAACGCAAAATGACCCTGAACACGTAAAATACCGTCCAAATAACGTCAAAAATCGCAATTTTCCTGAGTAAACCTTTCTAACGTCAATGTTGTATCCTAAACCAAAGAGATTTATGCCTAAGACTTTTGTTTAGTCGATATGTAATTTCAGTAATTTGTTCCATGCTATTTTAACATGTTACGTTTTATATTACATTTTTAACATGTGTTTAGTTTTAATAAATATCGTAAATTGTTCTATCAAAACATTAAGGCCCGGTTTCACCAACGTTGTTTAGCTTTAAGCTTAGCTTAATTCGTTATTTGCCTCTTTCTAAAGGAATAGTTGAAAAGAGACAAAGAACGAATTAAACTAAGCTTAAAGCTAAACAACGGTGGTGAAACCGGGCCCAAGTTGTCTTATTAAAGCCCTGCTCATCTCTGATCACGGCATTATCAAAAACATTATCAAAATAATGCAAAATCTGGAAAAATAAAACGCAAAAGAATGCCAAAAAATAACATCAAAATGTCACACCTCTAGTGATTGCTGAATCTTGTAGACTCTCGAGAGACAGAAGTGAAATGTCCATTGTGAAATCGCGCGTGTAAATTACCTATACATAATTGCGCGCGTTTTTGTATCCCGCAATAAAAAAAAAAAAGATTCACGCCGTCTAGATTCTCGGTACGAATGATGCAAGCGAACGGAGTAAGATCGCAAGGGGACTTTCAGCCCCGTGATCAAAGAGCGTATTGAGTATTTTTTATTTCTAATCTTTTTAGCGCGGTGTAAAAACGCACAACGCGTGCAGGAAGGCGATAAAACTGGTTACGCGTGTAAGAAATAATTATTGCCGCCTGGGGTTATCGTAGATCGAGACTTCCAGATTTGATAAAAGGAATCTCGCAGTTTCTTAACCCGCGCGTGGGTTCGAAGTAGAGATGGACGATGTTGCAAACAAAAAATCGATTAATCGGTGTCATAAAAAAATTGGTTAAAAACAATTGATTCTAGCGAAAAAACAATCGATATTTGTTGCAATCGATTATGATCGCCCATCCCTAAGCATCTGCGGCGCGCTCCGCAAGTGGAGCGTCGGCGCGAAGGAGTCGCGATAAGCAAGCGCGACCGATTACATCCGGTACGCTTGTTCCTTCTTCGCGATTATCTGCCGACGATTTATCTGACTTTCGAATACGACGGTATTGCGGCATCGCCGATTGTTCGGCCGCGCATAAAGACGATACTTGTTACACTTGCAAATCAGTAGGGTCACTCGGACAGCGGTTTATAGAAATCGGTTGCACATGCATTATCGCCGCATAGCGGATGCGCAAATAGGATAAATAAACTATTCAGTCTATAAATTCGCGCGCCGCGGTATACGTCCCGCTTATTTCCTTCCCGTTTATTTTAATTTTCTTCAATTGTATTTTCCCCTCCATTGTTTTCCTCGCGATTTCCTGCACCCATGAATTAATTAATTAAAGACGTGGCTGAAAGCGCAATTCGCCTCTTGGATCTAGAGTGTGACGTAAGGTTGCCGAAGCGATGTGTGTCGCGGCGACCTTGAATTTTCATCGCGTGCCAAGATTACGCTTTCTGGCGGGCCTCGCCGATCAATTATACACCTGCCACACGGTTCAATCTTTGATCCGGTGCACAGTTTGTTTTTCTCCCATTGCTCGTTATTAATATTCGCGTTATCGCTGCGTAAAAGGAGAATCCGTTGCCTTTGTGAGGCTCGCAATACGATCTACAATGGATTCAGGCTTCAGATTCATCGCTGTTCGTGGTGTAAAGCATTCGTGTCCCATTCGCGTCTCCGTTTCACTAACTTGATAGGACCTCATTAAATTCTCGGGTTCAGCCGCGAGTTGCCAAGTTGTACGCGCTTTCGGGCGCCTGACACAAAACGATTATGCATCGATTCCCACCCGAGCGTAGCGCGCGATGATCTAAAGGTAATGCAAGAATCTTTTTGCTGAAGTTAGAATTGAGGTTGCACACGGGATGAACGTAACTTTCTCTAATCCACATTCCTAGAGAGAGATACATTGTTGTTCCGTGGCATTTGCTCAGTGTTGCGCTGTAATTTGCGTGGTGCACAATTTTCGAAAGAATTGACGTAACATATGTTTGCGCTATCATTGCTAGGTTTTACCATTGTTGGGGAAATATTCCAGGGTCGTTTATTACGTAACTATCCATACATGTTGCCCATAATTTGGCAAAGTACTAGGGTAAATTTGCTCGGTTGAAGAAAAAAAATCGGACAAAAATGTTCGAAACGGGAAGGAGCGTCTTTGTCTTAAAAACCGTCTGTCCGAATTTTTCTTCAACCGACAGGCGAAATAGCCTCGCTCCATCTTGCGCTAGCAATAAACGCGGAGCCGAGTATTCACTATGATTTTCGATCTTTGTCAGATGTCGACCTGCAGACTCAGTTCGACGCCTCGCTGGCGATGCCGGCTACCTATCACACCCTTTGCGCACGTGCCCATTTGGCCCAGCAGTGCTGCGGCCTGGCGCGAGAACAGACGAGGATCTGCGAGAGGCTGGTCCACGATCAGCATCTCCAGCAGCAGGGCTGGGCCGCTGTAGTCGCCAATCTCGAGGACATCACGCATATGTTTCAAACACGAGCCGACCAGTTCCAGCAGGCCTTTGTCCTGTACCTCGCCGAGAGGCAGCAGCATATGAAGCTTCTCGATAAGTACGATCTTTTTTGTTATTCTTTCATCTGTTACTTTTTGTTTCATTGATGCATAAATATCAGTCCTACTTCATTGAAATGTTAAATTCCTTTTTTTTTTATCGGAACTTTCGTATCGAAGCATTGACTTCTTCATATTCTTTTAATGTCAGCAAATTTATCGAGACTGGTTTTTTTTGTAAGAAGTTTGCAGCCTATAATAAAAACCAAGATAGACACGACAGTTTCAGAGAATTATAGAATGGCGCTTTTACTTGCGCGTTAAATGCGTAAGTTAGTCACTAATTTATGAGTGCGGCAATTAAATTGGCAGGATCGCTTCGTACGACACGGCAGCGCGATTAATGCGGCAGGGACCGGTTCCCTTTTGTAAATTTTGCAATGCTGATCGAGAAGCGCAAGAGCACGGATTAGCGAGCTTAGAATGCGTTATGGAATATTAAAGAAATTTTTCGCAATGAATTACTTGCCAGTGTAGCAGTAGCAGTTACCATAAACGTACAACGTAATACTACTCTCATAATTACTTTAATTACAATGGGATGTAATTACCATTGAATCCACGTTTTAATTATCGTAGCTTTGATTACCATATTTAATCGTCGCCGCTTCAATTACCATTGGTTATGCCGCTAACGAGTAATTAAATGACGGTAGTACTAATTTCATTCGAAGATACGCGCGTCAAAGTTTATCGCAATGCTCGCCAAATATCTATAAGCGAAAATACTGAGTAATAACTGACAGTACTCTGATTTCTAGTAATTGACAATTGAAAGTAGGATAACGTTTAAATTGGTGATTTTCACGCTTGCAAATTTTGTTACAGCTTTAGCACCGATCTCGGTACCCTTGCAAAAATTCCAATTTTGCCGGCCTTGAGAGCTCAAGCCGAAGGTTTGTTGAGTCCGGATGATCAACCGAGTCAAACCTCCGAAAGCGCGTCTGAGGACAGTGGAGAAGTGCTGAGTCTGCTACGATGGATCTCCGCGAAAGACAATCAGAGCAGTCTGGAGCAAGTGGCTGATCAATGCTCGCGTGGCCTGGAGCAGTTCGATGAACGATTGATGCAGGCCTTGAAGGCGGAAGTGAACGCGGCCATCGATAATGCTAACAAGCAGGATATGAAGGAGATCAAGGGCCTAGGTGAGAGGCTGTTTGCCCTGGAACAGCTGATGGCGCAGACCAAGAGGCTCGTTCAAGAGCAGGGTGAGCTTGCTCAGGGTTTCCTGCAGAATCAGAATCGCGCGAGCAATTTGGGCGATGCGAGCGTCTTGCCAGATCTTTGCAATTCTCACCGGCGGCAATTGCTCGTCATGTTGCAAAATCACAACCAGCTGCGCGACATCCGCCGCAGATGCACCAAGGCGAAGGAGGAGCTGTCGGTGAATATCTATCATCGCCTCAAGTGGATTATGTACGTGGAGAACAAGATGGTGGAAGTGGGCAATAAACTAATCATATATCACGAGAGCCTGAAGCGGCTGCGACGGCATCTGGAGGTGCTCCAACAGATCCACTTGGCTCCGCAGATGTACATAAGCGCGGTGGTCGAGGTGGTTAGGAGGCGCACCTTCTCGCAGGCTTTCCTCGTATGGGCGAGCAACCTGGCTTGTCAACTGTTGACTGTTCACAGCGAAGAGTTGGCGCGTAGGCGAGAGTTTCAGAGCAAATTCGACGGCCACTTCTTGAACACCCTCTTCCCAGGTTTGGAGGACACGCCACCGCCCTTCGCGACGCAGGCGCCTTCCGTTTTTGACAACGGGCTACCTAAGGTAAGAGATTCACGGGAGGCTTCGTCAGTATAACATAAATATACATTCGCAAGTACTTGATTCTTAATATTTCATTATAGTTAACCGCGGACGACATGGAATCATTGAGGTCGCAGCTTCCGGATTTGGCGCTTACGATTTCCACGCCGGATTTAAGTAGCATTACGCAATTCTTCTTATCCAAGAGCTTTACCGAAGGCAGCACCGATGGCACCAAGGAGAAGGACACCACATCGGTGAGCACCGATATTCCCGCAAAGGAACAAGAGCGTACTAGAGCGCCGTTGTTGTCCGACAGGTGAGTTGCTGACGATGGCACTTGTTAAAATGAATTATGCAAGCTGCAAACGTTACATGTGCCGCGACGATTTTCAGGGGCGATTTCGAATCCGAAACTGACACGGAGGAATTCGAGAAGATCGGTCAAGCCGGCGTGGACGTGATCAAACCCGGCGTATTCGACGGGGCGAAACAAAAACGGCAGAAGCAATTGGAGGTTGGTGCCTCTCGAAGCGTGTCCCCCGCTTCCTCGACCTCGACTAACGTCTCCCCGCTAAACTCGAAAGTCGCGGACCTAACGACGCGTTCGTCCACGTCAAGCGAACCCGGCTCTTTCCAATTTCCCAGCCTGTCCGCCACGAGCGAGCGCCCGGCACAGCTAAGTCCGCTGACCGAGTGCGTGGAGAACGGCGCCGCCGATTCCTCCAGCTGCTTGCTTCGCAGTGGCGTGAGCGGCCTCTCCAACTATCGCGACGCCCTACCGCTCGAGGAGCAACATTCCCTGAGTCCGAATCCCCCCTCCTTGCCACGGTCCTCCGTCATGTGCGACGGCCAGCATCAGCAACATCAGCATCCGCTATCCGGTAGCGGCGGTAGCAGCAGTCCCTCCGTCGGCGTGGGTGCTACCGACTTCATGGGTACCGAGTTTTACATGGACGAATCTCTGCCGAGCAGCCTCAGCGAGCATCCCGCCGACGGTCAGCATCAGGCTATCGTGTCCCTCCTTCAGGTACTGGACGACTTACAGCTCGCTAACAGACAACTATTGTAGTTGTAGCCGTAAAACGTTCCGTAAAGTACCGCTTTTGTCATTACTCATCGTTCTCTCGAAATATTTTCAAATATTATACAACTCTTTCTCTTCTTCTCACCTTTTTTTCATTCTTTCCTATCACGCCCCCAAGATGTCGAAAGTACTGCTCGGTACTTTGTCAAACATACCTGGTAGTTAATTCGTTTTTCTTCTTTATGATTTCTAGGTACTTTCGTTATGTATCTTTATATTCGTTAGTGAGCTATTAGTATTGACTATATGCAAATTAGATCTCGTGAGACGTGGGTATGTATTGCTCGATTTATGTTCCGTAACCGATCAGACTAATCGAACCGCATCTGTTGCGCTCCCTGAGTTTTGTACCGCTTGCACAAGTACCCAATAATAGGCGCGCGTGCATTGAGCACGTACCAACACGTGCGCGTGCGAGTATAAATATGCGTGCATCTTGGTTTTTTACAGGATAGCTGGCGTCGCACTCGTTTCCCAATCCCTCGAGCAATCCCTTCAGAACCCATTGAACTCGTCCACACGATTGCTTTTACAAAGATATTCGTTCTAAATTGAAATAATTGCAGTTTTGTGTACACCGCGCGATACGTGATTCAAAATTAATGGCGAGAGTGTTTGACGAATTCTCCTTGATCACAGGGTGGTCAAGGACAATACGTTGTACAAAATGTGATTTTGGGATACTCATCGGAATATGTCTGGTGCTCGTTATTTCAGGAGAATCTCGGTAACACGCGTGAGGAAGTGGAAAGGCTGCGGTCCATCCTGAAGACCATGAAAGCGGTCGTATGCGAGGAGCTTAGTTCCGTTCGGAATGAATTGGCGATTCTGCGAGATCGGTCTAACGAGGACAAGAGCGGCATCGTCGAGATGACGGAACGCGTTCGAGTAGCATTGTCTTTGCACTCGCGAGAGTACGATCGACGTCTTCAAGAACGCGAGCAGGAACTGACGATCGAGCACGAGTACGAGATAACGGATGTTAAGAAGCTGATGCAGAGTCGTGAGGAAGAGATCTGCACGCTTAAGCGTAATCTCCTGGAAAAGGAGACCGAATTGGCGGAACACGAGCGACTGGTAGCTACAATGCGTCAAAAGTTGGAGGACGAACAGATGGAGAGGAGGAACTTGCAGACTCGTCTACATCAGCAACTCGAGGACTATTCGAGGATACTAGAGCAAGCGCGTATAGACAAGGAAGAGGCTGTGAAAAAGACCAACGACGAGAGATTCCTCGAGATCACTTCTTTAACGAATTCACTGACGCAATGCCAGAAGCGAATTCAAGAACTGGAGGAGAATTTGGCCACCGCGCGCACCGATCAGGAAAGAATGGTGAAAGAGGCGACCGATAAGTTGCAGATGGAATATAAGACGGAATTGGAAACCATTCGGAGCCGCTTCAAACTTATGACCGCTTCTACTATGGAAAGGAGTCCCAGCGATTCTAGTTTAGAAAAGATCGAAGTAAGTAACTCGCCAATTTGCTTATTTCGCTGTTATTGGTATTGAAATGAGGAAAAATGTACAAATATTTAAAAATATTTCTTTTCTTTCAGCGGGCAGACGTTATCGAGCTCGTGAATCATGAAGCGATTCTAGCGCAAGCGAGGGAAGATATGAAAGTTGAGAATGCCTTGGCAGTTCGTACCGCTATCGAAAAGGAGAGGACCGATTGCATGACAAAATTGGATAGTGAATTAACATTGGCCAAGGAAGTAGTCGAGGAGAAAAATAGAGAAATTGAAATGTATAGAGTGAGAACAGCTGCGCTGATTGAACAAGGCAAGCATTATAAGACCATGATAGATCAACTAGTTGGAGAATTCGAATTGAAATCGGAGATACAGCAAACCTTGATGGAGAAGGTATCGTATATACATTTCTATTCAATGCGACAGTGATGATTTAACGATTTTTTTTAATCGTTCTGTATATTTTCTCTCTTTTCTTGCACATAGATGAAAAATCTTGAAGCGGACAAGGCGTGGTTGGAGAGCAAAGAAACCGCGGAGAAGGCAATGCGAACGGTCCTGGAACAAAACGAAGATATCGTGTATCCTCTAGAATCTGGAGTATGCAAGGACTTAAGCTACGATCGGTTGGACGCCGGTCAAATTGATCTGGAAGATGTGTTTAAGGAATCTGAAAAGTACGAGGTCGAATCGAAGAAAGTACGATTGGAGGCTGATGACGATGATCTGGCTCGGCTATCGAGGCGACTTGAAGCTCTCGAGAGTGATAACAAGAGGCTGTCCTGCGAGCTAAATTCGATACGTGCGAGTAAAGTGGCGGCCGAAGCAAAAATGGAGGCATTAATGACGGATAAAATCCGTTTGGAGTTCGAGTTGCTGAAGGAGCGAACGAAGAAGACATTTAGTATCGAGTCGATGCCGTCGGAGAGCCGCGACAAGGACATGAATGCGTCGGTCGCGGTAGTTTCGGACTCCAATTCAAGTCGGGACGCGGCCACGAGTCCAGAGCCGAGTCGGCGATCATCTTCCAAATCGATATGCTTCCACCCTTCCCTTCCCTCGTACATACATAAGAAAGTCGCGGAAAAAGTGGCAAAGATGGTGCAACAGGGAATTGTCACTGTCACTAGCTGCAATCCAGGTGACGTGGTACTAGTAGTCTGGGATGCTGTACACGGCAACTACGCGGTGTACCAGGAATCTTCAACTTTTTATTTTCTTCATTCGGACTACGTCGACGCACTGGAGATAATGAATCCGAGCGGTTCGCGGAGGTGCGTTCTCGCTGAAGTGATCGATAAGGAGTACTGTCACGCGAGAAAGGTAAGGCTCTTATTGATTAATTGCTACAGAATGTAGAGCTGCATTATAATATTAAATAGTACATCGCTCGTTACGGCAAAAAGTGAAATTTCATTGTTCTCGTTCCAGCATGAAAATCGGTACCACGTCCCGCGTGGCACGAAATTCTACAGAGTGCGCGCTAAGCCACGAGATGCACGCGTCCTGACAGACGAGACAGGTTCTATGTCGAAGAGTCAACTACCGTAATTTTACGTTCAGACTGTGTCGAGAATCCCTTGATTCTTGCCTAGTACAAGCGCTGTGATCGAGGGTTTGCGTCGACAGGCCGCGTTCGTTAGGGGACCAGCGACCCGGAACGCAAATCCCGAACTTACGTCTCCGCAACCATCCGGAAACCTCGGATCTAGGCCAAAACCTGCCAGAGCCTCTAGACGCATCCTTGATATCGATGAACGCTGGAGGGAGAGGATAAACCATGGAAAGAGGTATGCGCAAGTTGGGTAACATGAAATGAGACGGAAGGATGCGCCGGCGTTTTATTGTGATATAAGTAATTTTTAAACGAGTGAAACATATTTGCCGAATGCTGTGGTTAGCTGTGAAGCGTAACGATATTTGTATTCTTCGACTTTCTTTTTTTCATAAACGAAACAAAAACAAACAAAGGGATGTGAGTGTCGTCGATGATTCTCTCTTTCAATAATTCGATAGGCTGACCAGTGTGTGAGAGAGGGATTGTTAAACTTCAACATTAGATGTACAATGCGGGAAGACGAAAGCGTGTCCCACCACAGACAACGTTCAGCTTCCTCTCTCCGCATTCCGATAATTATGTTTGCATTGTGTGAGACAAGATGTAGCTATAAGTTTTGCAAAACCGATATATTATGGGAACGTGCGATTTATATATCGTATATATGTATAATTATAAATATATATATATAATCCTATCTGGTTATATCCATATATATTTATATATTATATTAATAATGATATATATGTATATAATTATATCATGCTACACATGCACACACACGCACACACACATACACACACACACACACACACAATTGTACGAGGCGTGCAATATCTGCGTACAAAAATCTCGTAGGTCCTAAAGACTTTGGGGCTAAGATTTTGTAAAGTGAAAATTGTCTCGTGAATGTGTTGTGCAATTTCGTAAATATACCTAATACGTCGGGTTATTTATACGAAGAGATCGTGCTACACGCGACATCGACATATTTTCGACGTATTGCGTACTTTTTGTCGCAAATCGTCCTTTCACTTCTCCGCATACTTTCCGCAGACATCTACTTTCATTTTCGTCCTCTCTTGACACTCTTCGCAATCTTTTGTAGTATCGAGTTCGAGAGATAGGTAAAACGTAAAAGTCGACGTTTCATTCGAATGGAATGAATGGGACAAAGACTATAGTACAGTCTACTTACTTCGTCTACATACAACTTTCAAGCGTTAGTTTAAGCAATGCCCACCGGAGAATCGACTCCGAGAGAGAGGCGTGTATACTCCGCGTAGAAAAATTTTATAAATGTACACGTACATGTATATGTATATATCCTTTTCTATTATTTGACTGGTATCCACGCGAGCGCGCTCGGCGCCACAAACAAAAAGAAAAAGAGTCGCTCGCGGAGGATTACTCGTAAACTCCTTTAGTTGCGTTATCGTGTATCATTAAACAATGCTACTATCGTTTCTCGCGACGCGTAAACGCTCGTAGTACAGTACAATAGCTGTGATTGTTAGCTTCACGTTCTCACTTCTACTTAGTCACTTCTACTTAATTAAACTTAATTCCTCGCGGTGTCGAGCGACGATCCGTTTCTTTGCTCGGTCGAGGGTACAGACACAAGTGTGACTGGGATCTTGATTCCTTTTATACAAGAAGAAAAAAAATAATAATTGCAAGACAAGCCCTCGATCTTCGATAGGACGACGATCGTCGTTCGTACGCGAAACTGTCTCGCGAATTGGTGCAAACACGGAGTGCCGACAAATGGCGGTTTGCAAAATATGCTGATACGTAAGATAAACCGTTCGGTAGGATATTAAGCTACCTCGAGCACCTCTCGAGGAAACGACACGTTCGCCTTTGGCGTACCGCGAAGAAGTAGTAGTCTGTAATTCCTCTCCTGTCTTCTCGATTCGAAACGCACGTGTACACCGCACACACGTGCGTGAGACGACGAAGACCCTTGAACACGGAGGCCCCCCCCCCCCCCCCGAGGACGGACGGAGACATTAAGCTTTCCTTCTCCCTCCACAAATGCCGTTCCTCGTCCTTCGTCATCGTCATCGTTCGTCACACGAAATCGTATACGGAGAAGAAGGACACTCGCATACATCGAACTAACGCGACTGCTGCGCCAAGAAGCGACGATAGTAATGCGTTTTATTGCCGTCACGACGATGAAATGTTATATTCAATTCGGATCGTAGATTCGATCTCCGTGTGCGATTTCGATATTCACTTGCACCTACGGTTCCTACTAGACCAAACTTTTTCGTAGGTTCGATAGCGCCAGGGAAGCTCGATGCACCGAAACTCACGCGAGACTAAATACATCACACTGCTTCGAACTGAATATTTTTCGATAAGCTCACTTTCACACTTGAACGATCGCTCTCTTTTTTTTTTAGATATATTTATGTAAATTTGCAAACATCAACGACGTGGCTATTGAAAATACACGAGTGATTCTGATTTCATCGTGTACGTTTGAAAGTAGATAGCGTTTCATCGATCCTTGCAACAAGAGAAGAGCAGAGCAAAGTGCGTCTGCACAAATCTCCAAAAAAATTCTAAGTCATTATTGTCATTTAAGATTGTACGACCTTCAGACTGATTCGGATACTTTAGAAATGATCGGGAAATGGAATTCTTCAAAAGGATACTCACCATCTCTGAAGGAGAAGCGTTCTATTGTTGTAAATATGTGTAGATAGATGTGTCCGATATTGATTTATACTTAACATGCAGGTCGAGGATTGGCGACGAAATGTTAAACTGCGAAGTCGAAAAGCGGTCTTTCGACGTTGCTGCTTATGTTTCCGCTGAACATCTCGAAGCTACGTGCATCTTTGAAATAATTTTTCGCACCATGTGGCACAGGACAAGGCGCAAGCTCCTGATAATCTAACTCCAAGTTTTCGTCCTTAGAAGATACTCTAACGAACTACGTTGTTGCTCCAAGTATTTTTCACGAAGAAAGTTTCACGAGGAAGATCTGTGCGTAACTGCGTCTTTGCTTCGCTCAATTGTTAAGTGATTTTGACAGTTACAGTCCTTGATTTGATAAAATTACGAACAAAATGTCTAAGTATCAAAGCATTTGTATATTGTATATTACTTATCATAAATTGTTCAATTTGATCAACGGTCACAGGTGATCTCGCTCGACTTGGACATTTATTCATTCGAAAAGGAGAGCAGAAAAGGAACGATGAGAAAATTTTCCGACGAAAAGAAGCATTATCGAGGTCGAATTTTCGGAAGAAATAAATTTGCGATAAAAGGCGTTTAATATTATAGTAATTATAACGTAGCGAGATTTTGCTTTTTTTTGTATGCCTAAAGACGTAGCCGTAGAAAAGCATCGATTTGTAAAATTTTTTAATAACTAAATTTGTAAATTAAATTAGATGATAATGTACGATTAAATTAGCGTAATGTGCGGTTGACTCGATAGTAAATTGTACGGACGAATCAATATTGAGGATGATTTCTTCTATTAAATCAGATGAAATTGGCCAAGAACACTACGAGTGGTGCGTACATTGCGTCAAGTGAGAGTAGGTGTCTTTTATAAAAGGAAGAAAAATGTCGAGAGAAGCAAACGGCGGCGCAGAATCATTTTGATCGAGCTTAAGGATAGCAATCGCAACCGTGCGCATGGTGCAATTTATATGATCGGTTTATCGCGGTTTCAGACGCGAGAGCAAATCCTCCAGTCTCTCCGTCGCACACATCCGCTCTCAACGCCGAAGGGAATCGTTGTAATTCCATCGGGGCGTCCTCCTCTCCGTCTCTCTTTCTCCTCGGTAGCATCTTTCCCTCCTGACGCTGCATCGTTTTAGGACTCTCGTCCTGGCCAGCCTGAGATCGCGCGGACGTGTCTCGCATCCGTTCCGTTCGTGTGTCCTGTTACGTTCGCCGCACGCGAACTCTCTCATAAGAGATAAAGTAAGGAAGATATCGCGCATGTGTAATCGAGAAAGTGTAACGCATAGGCATAATATAATAATAATAATAGTAATATTGCATAACATACATAACAATTGTGATCGTGAGAGTATCTGTTACGAATAAATCAGTTGCAAATAAATCTTGTGACCTTTTTCCAAGCTACATCGGCTCTGCTTCTTGATCCCTTTCGCCCTCTTGAAACCTGGCCGAAGAAAACTCGCAAAGTACTTTTGGACATATCAACCTGCTGCAAAGTGCTTTTGGAACGCTCCTTTCTTCTACAAAAGGCTTCGATTTTCTAATTCACTGCGAAGCCGCAATATCCGAAGCTCGATGGAAAGCCGGCCAACCTTTTGGATCAGCTGAATAAATTAAACGGGTCTGTCCGTTCGGAGAGAAAGTGCAACGCTATCTTATATTTATTTATATGATACAAATGAGTAGAGTAGAGCGGCGAGAACGTTCTCTAATGATGAGGAATGTAGTTGTGCGAGTCCTGAGGACACCCCGGCAGCAGACTCGACGTCTCGTCGTCCGCGGAGCTGCACAGCATCCCGACTAGCGTGTAATCTACAAAGGGCGGCAGATCCAGGTCGGCGGCAGCCGGATCGCCGTAATTGTTGACGGTTCCATGAACCGGCCCGGCGCTCACCATCTGCGGCACCCGCTCGAGGACCTCGCAGGTGTAGTGGCAACGTTCGTTGCTGGGGTAGAAGAAGGATTCGGGGCTGTTTCGCGACTGGACCGACGTTTCCGCCACGCCGGGGTTGTGGAACAGCCTCTCCGCAGTTTCCGGCGTCTCCTGGCTGCCGTAGCAACCCTGAAGTCTCTCGTCCAGGTTCGTCTGGGTTGAACTTTGATGGATGGCGCGGTTGTGCGGCTGGCTCTTGGCGTCACCGTGCTCGAACATTTGGTGGTAGCCGTCGAAAGGATACGACTTGCTCTCGGGGCTGCAGTTTCGTCGCGCCGTCTCCTGCAGATCCTCGCTCTTCGGCCTCTGGTAGAGGCCGTACTCCGCTCTGCTCACCATCGATGTTTGACAACTGTTCCTGTAGCACTCGACTTCTCTACGCGAAGACAGGAGGTCCTCCTCCTTGACCTCAAAGCTGTCCAGATGCAACCTGTTGTCTTGTTGATCCTGCGGCCAGTAAGACTGCTCGTGTTCGTCCTTCGCGTTTCCCTCGATAAAACCCTTTTGACTCTGCGATCGAGGATAATTTTGGTAGCTCAGAACGTCATTTGCGCTCTGATTCTGAGTCTTCTCTTGGATGTAATGGTGGATCGTCCGTCTGGAGGGGAAGCCGTTGGAGACCTTCTCGGGCTCGAAGTTGGCGAAGTGGAGCCTGTCGTCCTGAGGCAGGCTCAGGTGACTGCTACTGGAGTCTTCGCTGAGAAACTGGTTCCAGTAGGCCTGATCCTGACTTTGCTGCTTCATCTCGTATTTAATGGTGCCGCTGCCGAGATCGAGCAAAGTCGGCGGCGAGCGAGCCACGTCCTGGGGATTCGCGGAGAAATCCGGCCTCAGCGGTTGGTCCAGCTGAAAGATCTCCTCCGGCTGGAAGAGATCGCCCGTGAAGGGCGGAAAGTCGCCGTAGGACGCCTCCTGAGGAACCTGGTTCGGCAAACAGTAACTAACGGGATTCTCCTGCGACGGAACGTCCTGCAGCCAGTAAGGCCCGTCCGCGGAGGGCATCTGTTGAGGATATATTGTTGTTTGATGATGATGAGACTGCGGATACGACGGCACGTTCGTCTGCAGCGAGCACATGCACTCGAAGGGCGGGCACGAGCATGAGTATCCTGCAACAATTTCATTGTTACTCCAAATTATTATTGCTGCTTCCTTTCTCTCAACGAACCCGAGGAGAAATGAAATTCAAGACGACGTCAATTTGATGTCATTCACCAAATTTATGTCCTATCCCAGACAGCACAGATCTCCTGAAGACGTTTTAAAGACATCCTCTGGGGACGTCCTTATGTCCTAAGAATGTTCCCAGGACATCCACAGGATATCGTGTGCTGTCTGGGATTTTGGTCGATATGATATCATCTTGACTTTTCATTTCTCCTTGGGAAGATAGAAGGAGAAGAGAAACGCTTCGAAGCATTTGCCAGAGTCGCAAATCGAGATGTTCCAGCGCGGAAACCGAGTGATAAAAGTCGTTGCGCTTATCCTATCGTACACCATCTCCGTTCAAAATGCGCGGGCTTTCGCAATGCGAGACGCTAGCCAATCACAGGCCGCCGTAGGGGCGTAAGTTGGTACCGACGAGGCAGTGATTCGTCGCTGGCATCACGATTGGTACCCGTGTATATTAGTGATACTCCCGCGTCTTTCCGCCGCGCGCTTGTGCGTCGAGTTGATAAACGGCGTCGAATTTGTGGTCTCCCGGCGTGAAAACGAGCGAGTTCGTGTCCGAGAAGTAGCGAATCCGTTCCCGCTTCCGTGGCGAGTGCGCTGGACGCGATAATCCCTCGACTCGCGGCCTCGGCGCGCCTCGGCTTCGACGCGAAAATCGACGACGTTGCCGGCGCTGTGGCGCCGTGTCGCGATCGAGAGCGCGTCGACGCGAAAGTCGAATCTTCCGCGAATCGCGAGCGACGCGTCGGTCGGCTTCGGTTACGACGAAATTGTAACGCAAGTACGTGTTTCGAGAAGTAGCGTTTGTCGTCTGTGAAACGGTTTACGGGATTCCGGGCTCGGTCCGTGATCAAGCCTTGTCGCGAAACGTCGATCTGGCGCTGCCGCTGTTGTCGGGCCGATCGACGAAACGACGGCGTTCGGTGAGTATTTCGATTCTCTACTCTCGCCCATGGCAATCCCATAAAAGTCGTTGCGCTTATTCTATCGCACATCATCTCCGTTCAAAATGCGCGGGTTTTCGGAATGCGAGACGCTAGCCAATCACAGGCCGCCGTAGAGACGTAAGTCGGTACCGACAAGGCAGTGTTTCGTCTCTGGCGTCACGGTTGGTACCCGTGTATGTTAGTGATATTCCCGCGTCTTTCCGCCGCGCGCTTGTGCGTCGAGTTGATAAACGGCGTCAAATTTGTGGTCTCCCGGCGTGAAAACAAGCGAGTTCGTGTCCAAGAAGTAGCGAATCCGTTTCTGCTTCCGTGGCGAATGCGCTGGACGCGATAATCCCTCGACTCGCGGCCTCGGCGCGCCTCGGCTTCGACGCGAAAATCGACGACGTTGCCGGCGCTGTGGCGCCGTGTCGCGATCGAGAGCGCATCGACGCGAAAGTCGAATCTTCCGCGAATCGCGAGCGACGCGTCGGTCGGCTTCGGTTACGACGAAATTGTAACGCAAGTACGTGTTTCGAGAAGTAGCGTTTGTCGTCTGTGAAACGGTTTACGGGATTCCGGGCTCGGTCCGTGATCTTGTCGCGAAACGTCGATCTGGCGCTGCCGCTGTTGTCGGGCCGATCGACGAAACGACGGCGTTCGGTGAGTATTTCGATTCTCTACTCTCGCCCATGGCAATCCCATATAGGTTAAACAATTCGGGCCTAGAACTCGCTACTTGATGTTCCATAACGCCATCTTGATAAATAGACGTTCCAACGAATCTTTTCGGTAAAATGTCCAGATGTAATCTCCGACCGTTGTCGAGCTATAAAGGATCGAGAAATAAGACTGTATCTTGCAAGTCGAGTTTCGTCGCAACGTGCAACGGACTTATAATTTCAGGCCAAGCTACATAATCGCGTTAGGCTCTCAATTTCGTTTTACGCGCCCGTAGACCCGGACAGAATTGTTCGCTGGCGCCATCTCGCGGGCGCGATCGCAGTCTCGTGAGCGAAGGGTAAGTGCATGTCGGTGCGTTCGAGCAAACCCGCGCGCGTCTAACAACTAGGATCGGTATTTATAGTCAGATATCTTGGGTTCAAGACCGTCTTGAATTTATGTAACGTTGTACGGAACATTTTATTGGCCGCGGAGTATCTAAAGATTATCTCAAGACGGACTTGAATATAAGATCTGACTGTGAATACCGGTCTATAAATACCGTCCTAGGAATCTGGTGTCTTCCCACATGAATTTGTGCACAGGTCAACACATTTATACATTTGACCAGGGTTGGGAAGTAACCCGTTACTTGTAACGGAGTTACAGTGACTTATTTTTGGTAAGTGTAACTTAATTTCGTTACTTTCTCTCCATCTCCAATTGTAACTTAACTCAGTTACATTTTTCCCGGTAACTAGTAGTTAATTTAATAGTAAGAGTTACTTTATATGTTGTTTCAACCTATACATACCATATAGATACATGAAAAATGTATATGTGTTCTACGTGTGCTTGAATTCATATGGGAAGGCGTCAGCGATTCCTAGTGTACATATGCGTTTCGACAATAGATCATAAAATATTAACCTTTATCAGAGATCAGTGGAGGTGGCTGCGTCGTTCGCGACGGTTGTTCGAGCGTGTCCGTGCTTGGTCTTTTAGTTCCCCTCAACGACATCAACTGTAAACATACACGTTCGTTCAATAAGTGCCTCTTTATTTTTATTGCAGGGCATTAATTGCAGGAAGACGCGATCGCACAAGGATTCTGCTTGACTTCGTTACGGTGAGTCGTTTCTTCTTCGCTTGCGATTATACGTATTTCATAATTAATCGTCAAATATTTCGCGATATGCAATTGTTGTAAGCTCCAGCAGTTGCGCAACATTATATTACAATTTCCCTCGATAACTAGATTTTGCACATTAGTTAATAAGTTTCATCGCAGCGAAGCTTAATTTGCCAAATAAGTAATTTCTCAATCCTTTGGGCCGAGTCTGCAATGAGTTGCTAGTCGTTAGTCAGAAGTTATATAGTTTCGACTTCTGACTAAACGACTAGCAACTCATTGTAGACCGAGCTTTGTAGTTGGATGGTGAACAGAGTACGGCCTCTACGGCCAGAAGCCGAGGATCCGCAGGAAACAGCAGCCCCGAGAGTAAAGCCACATCCTTTCGACCACCCTCAAATGTTCAAGCATGGTGGTAGCCAAGAATTGGTCGCGCAATTGTATCATTTGTTACTTCGTTACAGGCAGCATGTGTTATATGACATTTATTTAGTGGGAAATTATAATATCAATGTTTCGTAATCGTTGCTTGGAAATTAACAAAGAAAGGCACACGATACAAACATGTTATTCGGCCGATATCGCTAGAAAGTATCGAATCGGTATTGAATCCTTGGAAGCCCCGATAAAAAGATTGGCAGCCACAAACGCCGGGTTAATTATAACTGCGAATTACCTTGGAGCCCAGGGCGGCCTCTCTCGCCAAAAGCACCGCCAACCCTCTGACCCTTCTGCCGGCACCCACGCTCCTTCGCGCCTCCGACGTGGATTTCGCTTCCGGCCGCGGGTGATCGTGCTGGCCCTTGGCTTGGAAGAAGATCGCGTGCTCCGTGTGCCGCCAAAAGTGCGTCACGGGATAACCGCAGTGACCGCGACACGACAGTATCTCTAAGCGGCCGGTGCATTGTCTATTGGGGCACGGCTTGCCCTGCTGCTTCTTTCTGGCCTGCGGACAAGGCTGAGAAATGATCGGCGTCCAAGGATTTAATTGCGAAACTGGCTCGCGCGAATAAAAGGCAAAGTCGCACCGTCGATTATCCGCGAGACGTTGACGCGCGTCGCGCAGGCAAGGCGGGATTTTGCGTCGCGACAAGAATGCCGGCGAGCGCGTGTGACTATCGCGCGAGCGCAATTTACATTTATTATCGGACCGAGATTTATGTTTATCGTTCCGTTATGCGCCTCGCTCACCTTATCGCAAATCGCCGGTCGGAGGTGAACCCTACCACCGCCGGGCAGTATGCACTCCTGCGAGCACACCAGAACGCCCAGGCAGCTCTTCTTCAAAATGCTCACGTTGTGATTGTTGGTGTTCCTCATCGCCCAGCCGGAGGCGTGCCTCCTCGCTTCCTCGCAATCCGGCCCGTAGACTCTCCTCACGTGTCCGTCCGCCCATTCGCACCAGGGATCGTATTCCACTACCTGAAGCAAAATCTCTACTTCTTGAGCTCGCGTGGGGACGCGATTTCGTTGAATCTTCGGGAGGGGACTTTCTGAGAGCCGTCGTCTCCCGGAAAACTCATCGGATTCGTCTGTCGAGCGCGAGACAAGGGAACTTACCCTCGGTACGTTCGAGTCGTTTATGTCCCACTCCTGGTGGGGATGATGTTGCTGCTGGTTGCCGGCGACAGTCGCTGACATCGTCGGCGACCCCACGCGACTCCTGCAACGAGAGCAACTCGTAGTAGACATTTCCTAGCTTCTTTAACCTTCGTATCGTCGTAGTCGCCGTTAGTCGTTCTAATCGGAGCGCCATTGCTCCGCGATTCGCAATTTCGACCTCGCGAGACCCTGCAATCGCGGATTGTTGTCCGGAATCGAATTCAGGCTCTAATTTAATGTTACGCAATTGCGGCCGTGCCACGAGTCCGGCAGCTGCGGGATAAAATCCCGATTTATGGTGCGTGCCCGGCCGTACTTTGCGCGATACTTATGGGAGTTCGTGGGTGGTACGGCGCGACGCCGAGCACGTTCAGCGTGTCTTTCCGGAATCCCCGCGTCCATTGCGATCGGATCGAGGGTGCGAAAGATCGATCCTCGATAGCTACCCTTGAAATTTGTCGGCGGTGAATCGTACTCGTGGCCGTGCGTTTATCTTTGCCGGTAATTGAACGTTTAACCGGTACGCACGGTAAAAGGTAGACGAATTTATTAACAATCATCGATATGCTCGCTCGAGAAAATTGTCTCACATTGCCCCGCGTTTGTTCATCCACGGCGCGGTGGTTTTGATCTCAGCTTCTTACGGGAATTTGGGGAAAATCCTCGCGAAAGGCCGCGCGAGAGCGCCGGCACACGATTAATTCACCCATCGCGCGTATTAATAAAGCATGAAACAGCTAATCTTTGTGCCCCCAATTTTCTTGCCGGAATCTCTCTTGCCCAAGCGACACCGCGCGAGAAACACTTGTGCATAAATCCTCTTATAAGTGTATCTCTTGGCGCGTCAGCTCGCAAACCAGCTCCTGCCTTTCCCGCGTTGACATTAAAGTCCGCGCTTATGATCTGTGGCGGCATTACGGTATGCGAGGACTCCTCGAGTTGCAGCCGCGTATATGCAGTGACCTCCCGGTCGTATATCACGCCTCGAATAGATTTTTTAGAACCGCGATCTCCGCGAGAGAGGCGCGAGCGTACCAGAATATCACGCACGATTAATGAGTAATCGAGGGATTTTCATAATAAATACGGAAGAGATTTTCAGTCGTTCTCTTTTAGGAAAGTCAGTCACCGCGACGTATGAAATCGCGGAAAGATTTCCACGGAGCAATTTCATTGATATCTCAATAACGAATAACCGTTGATGGATTCGATCTCTTTGGTCCTCCACTTATGCAATTGGAGCATCCGGTTATAATCCGGTTTTAATTAATCGGGCAATGTTTTCTCAGTGCGCTAATTTAGGCGTCGCGGAGCCGCGGGCGGACTTGTACATCGGCTCGCTCGAATTTACTTGTCGCACGCTCGATTTCTTTCGAGAGGGTTTCCGCGCCTCCTACGGCGCTCTCTCGCGCAGGTACTTACGCGTTAGGTGCGTGCGCGCATCGTTTCCGACGGTTTTATCGAGTCGCGCTCGTGGCCGGACGTTTACGATCCTGGAACACCTACTCGAGAGCGCCTCATCGCCCGTGGGTCGCGTCCTCAACGACACGGACCACCTCGTGAAGCTCTCTCACGCTGACATGATCACTGTCGAGAGGAGCCCGCGGTTCCAATTGCCGCGATTACAGCGGCCGCCAGTCGTGCGAAGCGCTGTTTTACTGCGCCCCTTGATTCGAACCGCGCGGGGCATTTATTGCCCGACATATTTCGTTTAGATCCCCGGTGCCGGTCGTTCGCGTCCCGACACGCGGCGTCGCCAGAAACGACCGGCGGAATGACATCTTCTTCTTCGTTACTTCGAAAATAGGGAATTGCGTAGGTATCGCACGCCACATGGCCCGCGCATTTTAAGGCACATTTTAATCGGCAATTATGAAACCGATAATTGATCGCGATATCGTTGTTATCGCCGTACCGCGAGGAAGAAGCGAAATTGTCGTTGCTTCGCGCCGAGCGATAATTTCTCTCATTCTTTTTCGATGGTTCGTTATGCATAGCGAGAAGCAGAAGACACGCGAAACGCGTTTACTATACGTTACGTCAACGCTTCTCTCTTTCCCTTTCTTTTTCTCTCTCTCTCTCTCTTTCCGCAGAAATGGCAAGGGTAGAATTGAACTGGGAGGGCACGAGGGGGACGAGGACAGCTTTAACGGAGAAAAGAGTCAGCTTAGGTGAATGATTGCCCGGATCGGTGATAAAGTCATCGCCTTTAGCACCGAGTAAGATGATACATCGGCGGACGATGCTGCGCCGAGATTGTCCGAAGCCGAAGACGTACGCATACGCGCGTCAACACACGCATTCTGGTAATATCGTTTGTAAGAGAAAGACGCGGAAAGAAACGGCGGAGGAGAGAGAGAATGTGTCTTCGTCTCGCATCTTGCTCGCATGGTGTGGGTGCGCGTTCAGAATTTCAGATATTAAGGTAGATACGCGCCGCGACGAGGCCACTAAAATATCACGAAGGGCACACCGTGAAAAGGAAGAAATTTCTCGCTCCGTCCTCGTCCCTTCCTATTTCTCTCCTTGCCCTCTCGCTCTCTCGCTTCATCCCTGCTCCCTCGGCTCTCTCCTGATTTCTCTCTCATTTTCTCCTCCGTCCCCTTGCCCCCCTCTCATTCTTGTTCGTTACTGTCCGTGGTATCTTGGTGCCCGTTCCCGCTCGTAGCTGGGCTACGTCTGGATCTTTCCGCGAGATTAGCTCGCGAGTTAATCTCGTGCCTCTAAACAAGTTAATTCCCCGCGCTTTTGATTCGAGTTACCGATCGTGTGTCGTCCATCCGGAAATACCGAGCCGATAGTTGTAGCACCCATATATAACTTCGCGTCTCGTTTTATATTAATTGTCGCAAGATAATTAATCTTTCGTTGCGTTTTATTGCATTCCAATTCACGTGATTCCGTGATGAGTAATTCATTAAAATATATTCCACACTCGAGGAAGTTACATAACTTCACGTTCAAATAAAGTCTTGCATTCATATTTCTCAACTACCTCATTCGGTTCTTCTTGTCTTTAATTTTTCGTTGCAAATTCATTTTTCGAGAAAAAGTGTTTAATAGTTGAGGTATTAACAGTTTAAAAAATCACGTCACATTAACAACATATATTTTTCTTCGCTCTGAAACGATAAACCCACACGGTACTCGACACCCACGCGGTATCTCGGTGTTTTTTTTTTGGGATCTTTGCTCACGATCGACACGAGTCAGATCACTCGATTTACATTCGACATAGTTGTGTGAAATAATCGACGTGCCTGATGATGGCCGTCATTTAGTTTCGCGGTATATATTCGCGTGAAAATATCTGTCAATCGATCTCGGGAATGACATAACAAAATAAAGAAAGGATTATTGTATGGAATAACAAGTAATTCGAGGAAGTGTATTTTACAAATTTTGAAACCGTCTTTAAAATATCGGTTCAATCGACGAAAACAATTGTTAGTTTATACCCAATTCCTTGTTGTTGTGCTCACACCGATTTGATATCAATCTCTGCGGTGTCCGTCTGTTTACGAAGACGGTGTATCCACGTGTGATCTCGAAGCAGAAGAATGGAGCAGTTGGGAGATGGCGCAAAAAACTGAGCAAAACACGTTCAATGAAACGCGATAGAACGAAAGAAAACCGGTCGAGCTGGATTTTTGTAAATCTGACTTTTTGCTGATTCCGTACGCCGCTCCAAGAGCACATCCAGCAGATCACTCGTTGATCCCAAGATCCTAACGAGGGGGAGAGAGAGAGAGGGATGCGACAGTCAGTTTCAGGCGCCAAATTTAGAGAAGCACGTGGGTCGCCTTATAACCGCGGGATATTCAATTAACGCAATTAATGCAGTACCGCGGTACATTGACAAACAGCTGACTCGAAAATCGTACCGAAGAAAATCTTAATGAGAATCGCAATAAGAGCTCGCAAATTTTTAAAACTAATACCAAGCAATTACACCTCCGTAATTAATTTACGCTCGACTTGATATCCCGTCGATGATACAACAAATCGTGAAGGAGCATTCATCTGGAAGTGATTCAAAATTCCAAACGTCACTTTGTCCCCATTCTGGGACAAAATATAATATCGTTGAATGAATACCGCGGCTAAACTGTCAGCTTCCATTCGGCTGTCGCGACATAAAAGGATTCACGACGGGGGTGGAGCTCGCGAAAGGTACCGCGGGTTCAAAGGGTTTCTCGGAGCGACGGATAGAAAGAGAAAGAGAGAGAGAGTGAGAGAGAAAGAGAGAGCGTTCTCGAGATTCGAGATAAAGGGGGATCGGCTTACTCGCGGACATTCATTTAATCTGTCTTCGAGGTGTTGGGCTGTGATCAATGGCGAGGCGGCAATACATTCTTAATCAGGTTTTCACAAACCGACTAGATGGCCGCTACCTCAATGATTTGGAATCCTGGATTGTCTTTTTATCTTGACTAATAAAACGAGCGAGAAGATCGTGAAGAATTTGGGCAATTTTGAGGTAACATAGATTGGAGAAAGTTTTTACTATAACACAATGAAATTGAAATCAGAAATGATTAATCTATTATACAGAGTGAGATAATTGAAAGCCTTCAAATTGTTTGGTCGTTTGGAATACACGCATTGCGCAACAAGGATCTGCTTTTTCGATTGCCACTTTCGAGAGCACGAGCAATTTAATATGAGAAAAATGTAAAACTAATGATAGAAAGCATTATTGATAAAGTACAAACACCGAAGTAGCGACAGCTCGCGCGCACGAATGGTCGTGCATGGCTCGATGAGGCGCGCATGTGTAACCGAGGGATTTCTAGAACACCTAGCGTCCAATCAGGCCTCGTGATAACGCCCACACACCAATGGGAGACCCGCAGAACGCCCATTGATTAGATAGCAGCTCAATTTCTCTCGCTATCTGAAGGAAGAGAAATCGATGCCAGGCGCAGAAGTTACTAATTTTTTGCATTTATCAAGTTAACTGCTGAATCTCGTATCTCGTGGAGTCTACGTTTAATTTGGAACGAGAGGAAATAAAGTTAAGAAAAGCTGACGCGAAACGGCAAAATTAGCTTTTCACAATCTGTACGAAAGTTACATTAATTTCAATTATAGTCATAGAATTCCAAGGGACCATAGTATCGGATTCAAGATACAATTGAGAGTAGATAATAG